GCTATCAGACTGTCAGCTGTCACTTCTTGTTACATCAGTGTGTTCAACTTCTGCATCCCTCTGTTCACCACTCCCTGTAATTATTTGCTTCCCATCTGGTTAGGAGATCAGAGAAGTCAGCTTGGTAGGTTTGTTTCCGTAGGGTAAAATGGAGAGTGGGGCTCTTAGGACTCAGTTTGAAAAACCCTACGTCAGCTGCTCCGTCTGCCGCCTCTTCCCCCCCCTTCCCTTCCTTGGAAGGCGTTTTCATATGAATATTGGTGATGAAAGGTGTACATTCCCGGTGCAGATTGATTTACATTACACAACTGTGTGACATCTTCATTACATTTGGATGTTATAATTAACCTTTAAAAATACAAGCTCTTTGAGGATAGAACTTGTCCATTTTCTTCATGCCTTCCCTGTGCCTTATCTTCCCTACAGTTTCCTATGTGGCATCTGGTACAGCAACATGTATCCCAATAATTGCAGTTTCTCTGGCCACCAGCTTTTCTGACCATACTAGGAGATTATAAAAAGAGTGAAAACTAAATGTTGGGTGATAATACTGGGAATTAGGCTTTACTTTTGCTTTCAACATTTATCTTTTAAAGAAATTAAAATACGAAGGAAGAGTTTTATATTTACCCATGTACTCACTACTTCCGTTGTTCTTTGTTTCTTTATGTAAATATGAGTTTTCATCTGCTGTCACTTTCCTCTTGCCTGAAGATCTTTCTTTTAACATTTCTTTGAGTGTAGGTCTGTTGGTGATGAATTATTTCTTTTTTTGTTTGTCTGAAAAAGTTTTTATTTTGCCTTCATTCTTAAAGGATATTTTCACTGTGTAATAGGTTAATACTGTTCTTTCACCATTTTGAAGATGTTAGTCTGTTGTCTTCTGGATTACATGGTTTCTGATGAAGCCTGCTGCCATTTTTATTTGTTGCTTTGTATGTAGTGTGTCTTTTTCCTCTCCTGTAACTGCTTTTCATTGGTTTTAAGCAGTTTGATTATATTGCACTTTATGGTGATTTTCTTTGTGTGCCTCTTGGGGTTTGTTGAGTTTTTTTGATCTGTGAGTTTATATGTTTCATCAAATTTGGAAAATTTTGGGACATTTCTTGCAGTATTTTTTTCTGTCCACCCTATCGTCCATCCTCCTGGAAGTGCAGTTACGTATATGTGTGACTGATTGCTTTATCCCACATGTCTTTTGAGGCTGCATTCCTTTAACTTTTTCAGTTTTTGTCTTATTCTTCATTTTGGATACATTCTATTGCTATGTGTTTGAGTTCACTAATTTTTTTCTCCTTTTACAGTGTCTAATCTGCTGTTAATCCTAGTCAGTGAAATTTTCATTTCAGATAATTGTATTTTTTTTAACCTCTAGAATTTCCATTTTGTCCTCAATTTTTTTTTTTCATTTATGTTCATGTTTTCTTTTAATACTTGAACGTAATTTTCTTTTTTTTTTTTGGATAAGCGTTTTGGATATTTTATTTTTATTTACTGTAATCTATTTTTTATTGTACTTTAGATGAAGATTTACAGAACAAACTAGCTTCTCATTAAACAATTAGCACACATACTGTTTTGTGACATTGGTTACCAGCGCCACATGTCAGCACTCTCCGTTCTCGACCTTGAGTTCCCTATTACCAGGTTTCCTGTCCCCTCCTGCCTTATAGTCCTTGCCCCTGGCCTGGTGTGCTCATTTAGTTTCATTTTGTTTTATGGGCCCATCTAATCTTTGGCTGAAGGGTGAACCTCAGGAGTGACTTCATTACTGAGCTAAAAAGGATGTCATACTCTCAGGGTTTCTCTGTTAGTTTCTCTGTCAGTCTCTGTCAGGCCAGTAAATCTGGCCTTTTTTTTGTGAGTTAGAATTCTGTTCTACATCCTTCTCCAGCTCTGTCCAGAACCCTCTGTTGTGATCCCGGTCAGAGCAGTCAGTGGTGGTAGCCGGGCACCATCTAGCTGTACTGGACTCAGTCCGGTGGAGGCCTTGGTAGCTGTGGACAATTAGTCCTTCAGACTAATCTTTTCCTTGTATCCTGTTCTCTTCATTCTCCCTTGCTCCCGAAGGGGTGAGACCAGTGGAGGATCTTAGATGGCTGCTCGCAGGCTACTCACCAAAGTAGAATTGTAGAACATTTTCTTTATAAACTATGTTATGCCAGTTGAGCTACATGTTCCTGAGAACATAGTGGTTTTAGTCTTTTGTCTGCTAATTCCATCATCTCTGTAATTTCTGAGTCATTTACCGTTGTGTGCTTTTTTTTTTCCTTCATGGGCCACATTTTCCTGCTTCTTGTCATGTTTAGGAATTTTTTATTAGTTGCTATATATATTGTGAACATTACATTGTTGAGTGTCTGGGTTTTGTTATATTCAAGATTGGAATGCTTTGTTTTGGCAAAGTGATTATGTTACTTCCAGATCTGTCTAATCTCCTTGAGGCCTGTATTTAAGCTGGTAGGGCAGGGTTAGGATAGTCTTCGCCCCAGAAATAGATCAACCCTGCTACTAAGGCCTGACCTTAGTATGGGTTAGTCTCCACTGAGTGCCTTAGGTGGGGTCACCAAGATCTCTCTACTCTGACTGGTTGAAATGTGAACATCTCTCTGCTTCGTGTAAACTTTACAGCTTCCTGGTCCTTTTTTATCCTGCCTTGCGTGGTTTTAGTCACACGTGCCTGGCCTAGAACTTAGCACATTTCTGGACTCTTCTTTCTGTGTAGCTTTTCTTTTCTAGAGCTCTTCTCTGTAACTTCCAGTCACCTCCGTTGTTCTCAGCTCTGATCTTCATTTTCTCATTTCAGTAAGACTGCCAGGCTCTGTTTGGGTTCCCCTTCCCTCACCTGGTGGTCTGGAAATTGTCTCCCGGCTGAAAGCTGGGCTGATTGTATAGCTCACCTTGTTTGGTATCCTCCTTTCTGGGATCACACTTCTGTACTGCGTGTTGTCCTGTGTCTGAAAGCGGTAGTTTTATATATTCTTCTGGTTTTCTAACAAGAGGTTAAGTCTGGTCATTGCTATTCCTTTTCTACCGGAAGCAGAAATCCCAGGAATTCCCAAGCAGAAATCCCAGAAATCCCCTTTAAGTTGGTTCATTGAAAAAAGTGACTGAATATAGTTCTGAATAGCACACCTGTGTATATTAGAGGATGAAACATAATTAGCATCAAATTTTGAGTAAAGCATAGTAGTATCCTCATTTTCCCCTCCTCCATTCATTTCTTACCTTTCCCGCAGACTGGAACTGTTACTTTTCTTTTTTTAAATTTGTTAATTTGTTTCAATATAGCAATAAACCCATCGTATCCATTGCACGATAATATAAATAACATTTTAATAAAAGAAACCCAAGCCATGTTGAACAAAAGAAGGCATGTATTTGAAGTGGGTCTTTGGTAAATTTTAAAGAATACCATAATAAAGGGTAGAAAAAAGCCTTGACTGTTGAGAGTTTAGCTACTAAGCAGCTAGATCAAGAACAAAGGATGCTATTTGTATCTGGTTTTTGTTAACTATTACTTACTTCACGGAGCCCTGGTGGTTAAGTGCTTGACTGCTAACTGAAAGTTCAGTGGTTCAAACTCACTAGCCACTCTCTCCACAAGAGAAAGATGTGGCAGCCTGCTTCCATAAAGATTAACCAAAACCAAAACTGTTGGTATGGCGTCAATTCCAACTCAATAGTGACCCTACAGGACACAGTAAAACTGCCCCACAAGGTTTCCAAGGAGTGCCTGGTGGATTCAAACTGCCGACCTTTTGGTTAGCAGTCAAGCTCTTAACCACTGTGCCACCAGGGCTCCCCATAAAGATTAAAGCCTTGGAAACCCCATGAGGCAGTTCTACCCTGTCCTGTAGGGTTGTTATGAGTTGGAGTCGACTCGACAGCAATTTTTTTTTTTTTCTTTTTAGGGAGTAGTGAGTTTATGTTTACGGGGAGGAACATCTCAGAAAAGGAGGGCAGGAATGTTCGCAGAGCTTACTGAATTGTACATGTAGAAATGGTTAATTACTCTAGGTTCTTTGTTTAGCCTCCGGAATGACTCACATTTGCTCCAAAGCCCTAGGTACTCTGTGTAGTATACATACTACGGTAACTTTAATATTGCATCATCAGTGGTTGTTTATGAATACCTCGATTTTTTCTTTTTAATTTTAAGTGCAAATTGAGGAATAATGACTGGTTCCACTGAAGCTTAGAATATTTTGAAGTTAATAAACTTATAAAGAAAATGTTCAACCTCACTAAAAAATGCAACGTAGAAGAAACAGCATGTTGTCACTTATCAAATTGATTAAAGTGTAAAAATAACATTTTAATGCTGGCAGGAGTATAGTGAAATGGCTACTTCTTTGAACTGACAGGGGAAGTATACACTTACACAATTTTTGCAGATGAGTTTGGCAGAGATCTTTCAATGATACTTTCACAGAGTAACATTGCTTGTATGGATTAGTTTTCTTAAAATTGTTAGAAATTTGAAGAAACATATACATAGGAAGATGTTTGTTGCGATAGTATTTCTAATGGAAACGCTATAAATGTCTAACAGTAAAGGAGTGTTCCAGTTGTGGCATTCTCCAATTACAAAATACCATACAGGCATTAAAAGGGTGTTTATGGAAAATGTGGCATCACACAGGAAAAACTGATTTGAAGAAATACTATTCCCACATGATACGTAATTTCCTCTCAGCTGTTACTAAAAGAATGCATGAAAAATGGTTAGAAATATACTAAACTGTTAAAGTCACTGTTCCTAGGTGGTGGTTTTATGAGAGATTATTTTCTTCTTTATGTTTTCTCTATCTTCCAAAAGTGGGGTAGGTGGGCATTCTGGATATGTGAAAGCAAACAGGATCTCTGTAGCTATATTCTGGACTTGCCCTGGATAGGCACGTCTGTTTTCTAAAGAGTAGGCCAACCAAACATCTCTAAGGCTAATTGTTATTTTAAGTCTCTTGTTTTTTATAATGATTTCTCTGCTTACTCTTCAGATAAAAATTTTGATGATGAAGATTCTGTGGATGGTAATAGACCTTCCTCTGCCAGTTCTACATCATCCAAGGCTCCACCAAGCTCACGGAGAAACGTTGGAATGGGGACTACCCGCCGGATTGGGTCATCCACTCTTGGGTCTAAGTCTTCAGGTAAGACCATCCTGTCTGTGGTCTGGGGTCAGTGATGCCAGCTTTTAAAACCAGAGGTTCATGCTACTTGCCTTCTCGTGTCCTTCAAACATGAAGTAATTCAGCTGTAGTATGTTTCTGCTTAGAAATATCAGTGGAACATTGTCTGATATACTTCTGGGAGGTGAGCCCCTCAGGTTAGAAGGCACTCAAAATATGACTGGGGAGGAGCTGCCTCCTCAAAGTAGAGTCGACCTTAATGACATGGATAAAGTGAAGCTTTTGGGACCTTCATTTGCTGATGTGGCACAACTCAAAATGAGAAAAAAACAGCTGCAAAAATCCATTAATAATCGGACCATGGAATGTATAAACTATGAATCTAGGAAAATTGGAAGGCGTCAGAAATGAAATGGAATGCAAAGACATCGATATCCTAGGCACTAGTGAGCTGAAATGGACTGGTGCTGGCCATTTTGAATCAAATCATCATACGGTCTAGTGTGCTGGGAATGGTGTTCCATTGATCGTCAAAAAGAACAATTCAAGATCTGTAATGAAGTATAATGCTGTAAGTGATAGGATAATATCCATACAGCTACAAGGAAGACCAGTTCGTATGACTATTTTTCAAGTTTATGCACCAACCACTAAGGCCAAAGATGAAGAAATTGGAGGTTTTACCAGCTTCCTCAGTCGGAAATTGATCAAACATACAGTCAAGATGTGTTGATAATTACTGGTGATTGAAATGCAAAAGTTGGAAACAAAAGAGGGATCTGTAGTTGGAAAATAAGGACTTGGTGATAGAAATGACACAGGAGATCTCATAATAGAATTTTGCAAGACCAAAGACTTCTGCGTTGCAAATACCCTTTTTCAACAACATAAACAGCAACTATACACATGGACCTCACCACATGGAATACACAAGAATCAAATTGACTACATCTGTGGAAGGAGACTATGGAACAGCTAAATGTCATCAGTCAGAACAAGGCCAGAGGCCAACTGTGGAACAGACCATCAGTTGTTCATACGCAAGTTCAAGTTGAAGCTGAAGAAAATTAGAGAAATTCCACCAAGAGCCAAAATATGACCTTGAGGATTGTCATGGATTGAAATATGTCCCCCCAAAAATGTGTGTTTCAGTTTGGCTGGGCCCTGATTCCCAGTATTGTGTGGTTGTCCTCCATTTTGTGATTGTAATTTTATGTTAAAGAGGATTAGGGTGGGATTGTATAAAACCTTTACTAAGGTCACATCCCTGATCCAGTGTCAAGGGAGTTTCCCTAGGGTGTGGCCTGCACCACCTTTTATCTCTCAAGAGATAAAGGGAAGCAAGCAGAGAGTTGGGGACCTCATACCACAAAGAAAGAAGCATCGGGAGCAGCGCACGTCCTTTGGACCCGAGGTTCCTGCACTGAGATGCTCCCAGACCAAGGGAAGACTGATACATCACAAGGACGTACCTCCAGAGCCGACAGAGAGAGAAAGCCTTCCCCTGGAGCTGATGCCCTGAATTTGGACTCCCAGCCTACTAGACTGTGAGAAAATAAATTTCCCTTTGTGAAAGCCATCCACTTGTGGTATTTCTGTTAGAGCAGCACTAGATGACAAAGACAAGTATGTCTCATTAGAATTTAGAGACCATCTTGAGAATAGATTTGACGCATTGAATACTAATGACTGAGGATCAGATGAGTTGTGGAATGACATCAAGGACATCATACATGAAGAAAGCAAGAGGTCATTACAAAGACAGGAAAGAAAGAGAAGACCAAAATGGATGTCAGAAGAGACTCTGAAACTTTCTCTTGAACATAGGGTAGCTAAAGTGAAAGGAAGAAATGATGAATTAAAAGAACCGAACAGAAGATTTCTAAGGGTGGCTCGAGAAGACAAAGTATTATAATGAAATGTGCAAAGACCTGGAGTTAGAAAATCAAAAGGAAAGAGTACGCTCGGCGTTTCTCAAGCTGAAAGAACTGAAGAAAAAATTCAAGCTTCAAGTTGCAATCTTGAGGGATTCTGTGGGCAAAATATTAAACAACACAGGAAGCATCAAAAGAAGATAGAAGGACTACACAGAGTCGCTGTACCAAAAAGAATTGATAGACATTCATCTATTTCAGGAGGTAGCATGTGATCAAGAACCGATGGTAGTGAAAGAAGAAGTCCGAGCTGCACTGAAGGCATTGGCAAAAACAAGGCTCCAGAAATCGACAGAATACTGAGAGTTTTAACAAACGGATGCAGTGCTGGAAGTGCTCATTCGTCTATGCCAAGAAATTTGGAAGACAGCTTCCTGGCCAGCTGACTAGAAGAGATCCATATTTGTGCCCATTCCGAAGAAAGGTGATCCAACAGAATGTGGAAATTATCAAACAATATCATTAATATCGCACACAAGTAAAATTTTGCTGAAGATCATTGAAAAGCGACTGCAGCAGTACATCGATAGGGAACTGCAAGAAGTTCAAGCCAGGTTGAGAAGAGGATGTGGAACCAGGGATATCATTGCTGATGTCAGATGGATCTTGGCTGAAAGCAGAGAATACCAGAAAGATGTTTACCTGTGTTTTATTGACAATACAGAAGCATTCAACTGTGTGGATCATAACAAATTATGGATAACATTGTGAAGAATGGGAATTCCAAAACACTGTGCATGGACCAAGAGGCAGTTGTTTGAACAGAACAAGCAGATACTGCATGGTTAAAATTAGGAATGGTGTGCTTCAGGGTTGTATCCTTTCAGTCTGTATGCTGAGCAAATAATACAAAAGTCTGGACTGTATGAAGTAGAATGGGGCATCAGGATTGGAGGAAGACTCCTTAACAACCTGCGTTACACAGATGACACAACCTCGCTTGCTGAAAGTGAAGAGGACTTGAAGCACTTACTGATGAAGATCAAAGAGTACAGCCTTCAGTATGGATTACATCTCAACATAAACAAAAATCCCCACAACTGGACCAATAAGCAACATCGTGATAAGTGGAGAAAAGATTGAAGTTGTCGTGGATTTCATTTTACTTGGATCCACAATCAACACCCATGGAAGCAGCAGTCAAGTAATCCAAAGACGCGTTGCATTGGGCAAATCTGCTGCAAAAGACCTTTTTAAAGTGTTAAAAATCAAATATGTCACTTTGAGAACTAAGGGGTGCCTGACCATGCCATGATTTTTTCAGTTGTCTCATATGCATGTGAATGCTGGACAATGAATATGGAAAACCGAAGATGAATTGAATCCTTTGAATTATGTTGTTGGTGAAGAATATTGAATATTTCATAGACTACCAGAAGAATGAACAAATCTGTCTTGGAAAAAGTATAGCCAGAATGCTTCTTAGAAATAAGGATGGTGAGACTTTGTCTTACATTCTTTGGACACGTTATCAGGCAGGACCACCCCTTGGAGAAGAACATCATGCTTCGTAGAGCATCATCAAAAATAGGGAGACCCTAGACGAGATGGATTGACCCAGTGACTATACGAATGGGCTCTAGCATAACAGTGATTGTGAGGATGGCACAGGACTCTGCAGTGTTTTGTTCTGTTGTACATGGGGTCACTATGAGTCGGAATGGACTCTGTGGCACCCAACGACTACAACGTATTTCTGCATGATAGCCTTTGATTAAGTTAGTTCTGTGCTGCTGATACTGATGTGCTGGTAGGATATAGGTCTGAGCTGTGTACTGACTGGTGCCACTTTCTGGAAGGCAGAGACTATGGGAGAATGAAGCCAGCACAGAGGAAGGCAGAGCTCATAGAGCGAGAGTGTGCCCTGCTGGCATTATTTGAGTCCCCGTATCCAGCAATGACAGAAGCTACTGTGGGCCTTTTTAGGTCGTTTCTGTTCATTTAAACTGAGACTATCCCGAAGTCAAAATGTACCTTCTGTCTTTAAAATGTGTTTTGTTCCTACAAGTAGAATTATTGCTTATGAGACCGGTGTGGATGTTGAATTTAAGTAAATCTAGAGGACTTGGATTTGGTGGTAGGATTCCCAGAGGCTTTGAAAATTGATTTACGAAGATTTTGTCCATGAGTCCCACAAACCCCTCCACGCCCCAGCCTGTATACCTTGACTCCATGTCGTAGACAACTCTCGTTTTAGATTTATGTGCAGATTGCCTACTGTTTACCTCGGGAAGGTTGTGTGGCACTGCTTTCGGAAGTATGCTTACTGTTAGCATTGGACTTTTGAGCCTGGGGTGTTCAGTGAGGTTAGAAAGCCCACACTTACGGGCTAATGAAAACCGGGAGAGAGGGTTACCATTTGCCTGCTCTCTCCTGACGGTCTTTCATGACCGCTGAACTGGCCCTGGAATCTTGTCATCTTTAACTTGATCGGCTTGGTTCTGCAGAGTGTCACCAGCTTCCCTGTTGATGTTAAAGAGGCTGTACTGACAGCAGAGTCAGACCACTGACGTTAGAGAATCTGTACTGACAGCACAGGCAGGCCACTGACTGTAGAGAAGCTGTACTGACAGCACAGTCAGACCACTGA